CGTCGTGGGCGCCTGTTTCAAGCAGGCGAAGGCTCTCCCACAGGACGCGCTGGTGAAAACAGTCGCTCTAAGCAGAGGTCCGGAGCCAGAGTCGAAGCGCTGGAAACAAAAAAAGCTCAACAGTATTTTTCTCGTTGGCCCATGCCGTCCCGCGCGGGAAAGGGGGAGAGCTCCAGGTGCAGAAGCGCTTTGCCACGGCCGTGCTGCGCGAGTGGCACTCGTGGTCGGTGGCTTCCTGGTGGGCGAGCAAGGAGGTTCCGCCCGAGGGGGGTGGAGATGAGGACGTTGGTTTATGTATTTCACTCGTTGTGCCTTCTACCCTGACCTTCCGGGAGGGCTAACAAATAGCACGCGACTTAAAGACCTATCCCAGATCTATTCTATGTCTTGGTTTTGGGCTGTTTCGTTTCGTTCTGTAGGTTTTCAGGCCTCCCGTGCTAAAAAGATAGCTCTCTGGAAGGTCAGGGTAGGGGGCCCCCGGGGCGACGGCAGGCTCCGCCGCGAGATCTTGGTCAGCCACGCGCCGGGGGCAGCCCTTGTGGTCCGAGGAGGAGGAGGAGGAGGAGGAGGAGGAGGAGGAGGAGGGGGAAGGGGGAAGGGGGAAGGGGGAAGGGGGAGGGGGAGAGGGGGGAGGGGGAGGGGGAGGGGAGGGAGGGAGGAGGAGGAGGAGGAGGAGGCCGAAGAGCAGTGGCAGCTCCGACCGCCGCTCGTGGTCGCTTTTCATTGCCAGCCTCGCACGTATCCCTATCCCTAAGACTGACACGCCAAAATGCGATGACAATCTTAGGGATCCGCCCTCAAAAAATAAGGGAATCCCTAAGATTGGCATCGTGATGAGGAGGTGCCCAGCATAGGGATAGGAAAATATTCCAGGCTGGTAATTTCACATCCGACGAACGAGGCAACATGGGAGAATGTAACGTCATGGTTGGCGCACGCCTCGGGACCCCACGCCGGCTGGAACCTGTCCCAGAGGCAGTTACTCGCAACGGCCTGGTGGTAAGTTGACCTCTGGATTGGATGGCATCGAGGGCCGAATGGATCTCTGCCATGCGGCGCGCTTGTGGGGGTACGGCCTTTCTCGACTCGGCAGGCCTGCAATAGGGTCCAGAGTCGTGGAAGTCGATCAATGGAGAGGAAGCATGCTTCCAAATAATTCCCAGATGTTCAAAACATGTTTCACACATGTCTTAAACATGTAAAACAGCATGTTTTAATCATGCTTGAACACATCTTTAATTCAATGACAGGATTGTTAGAGAGTGTCCATTGCCATGGCATGCGCAAGTCCAGAGCGTTCTGGATCGCTCTCAGGGCGTTCCGCGTCGCTCCGAAACGGCCAAAGGGCGCCCGAGGCAATGCTGCAGCCCCGCGGGCTCTCAAGAGATCCCTCCAGGTCAGGTGTGAGAGGCAGGATGAGGACAAGCTCGGATGACGAATCTGGAGTCTTTGAGAGCTCCTCCTCCTCCTCCCTCCTCCTCCTCCTCCTCCTCCTCCTCCTTCCTGTCCTCCTCTTCCTCCTCCTCCTCCTCCTCCCTGTCCTCCTCCTCCTCCTCCTCTTCCCTGTCCTCCTCCTTTTCCTTCTCCTCCTCCTCTTCCTCCTCCTCCTCCTCCTCCCTGTCCTGTCATCCTCGGCCCGTTTCAGATCGAGCAAAACGCTCTGAGAGCGAACCAGAGCGCCATGCAGCGCAGGCGATTCACCGACCAGAATGCCCGAGTGTCGCCAGAAGTGCCAGGCCGCTCAGAAAAGACGGGAAATTCATGGATACACCCCTGGTGGGCTACTCGGACGCATCCCTCAGAAGAATGGACGCCCCACCTTAGTATATCCCCGAGTTTGGCCTCAAATGTTCGGTCCATCCGAAAACCCACAAAGTCTGGGACCGGTGTCGTCACACACCCCGTGAATGCAGCACCTCATCCTCATTCAAGTTTATCGTCGTCTTGTCTCTCAGCCACTTCTGTCAGGAAGGTCCGTAGCCATTAGGGCTCAAGGTTGGTCAGGCCCACGGACCGTGTCCATGCCTCAGCTATTTCAAGATGCCGACCGCCCAATCGTTATTGCAAGACACCGTTGCTACTCATACAGCTGATGCGATCCACCCTGCTGTGTACAGTCTCACGCCAAACAGTGTCTCCAGTGTGGCCATACCTTGGAGGAGACAATCTTGCGGTGCCGCTTTCCTAGACATGCCTCATCTGCGCAACAGCCAATCCATGAGAATGAGTTTCGTCATGCGCAACCAGATCAAGTTCGATTACAATGATCCGTTTTGGGTGCTCACGCTGAAACGGCCATTATCGGATAACCCTCCAACAGCTGCTTCGTACACCGTGACCTCGAGTGCGGATGAAGAGTTGAACACCGGCTTTGACGGTGAGAGTTTTACGGTTGTCGACAACAAATACCGTAAACCAATTTTAGAGGAAGCAAGAGCCGTGGCTTCCAAGACACAGAGCAAATTAGTTGATGGCCAGCACGCCATTCGGTACCGTAAGTTCCAGTATCCCAGAGCCCCTGCCTCAAACGATAATCATTGGATAACTTGTCACGCTTGTGATGTTGAACTTGAAGGGGCTGGCGAACGCTATGCGCGAATCCTTAAGGTGGGGACATCTGACAAAGCAGAGTACTGGAAGACCATCCAGGACGAATGCAAGAGAGCAGTTGGGAAAAGCTATTCGTTCTGCAAGCCTGGAACGATTCGCGTAGATGTTTATCCAGGAGCTCCCACCAAAGAGGCGAACGACAAACTCGAAGAGTGTTTGCGCAATGAGCTGAAGCCTGCAGGGGAAGAGGACGACGTGGTTGAGGCTCGTTGCAATCTGACAGGGACAGCTGGGATGTTTCTTGATGCCGCTAGGGCAAGCATGTTATCAAAGTCTGGCAAGTGAGGGGAAGAGGAAGATCCAACATATAGCAACGTCTAGGGAACTCTGGAATTTGAGTTTACGGATTTGCGTCTCCCTGGTTTCATGTATTCAAGTGGTTTACGCGATTCCCTCGCCCCTCTGAGGAGAAACAAAGTTCACGGGTAGCATTTTTGGGGCCTCTTGGAGGCCTCTTGGGGGCCTCTTGGAGCCTATTGGGGCTCTGTTGAGCGCCCGCTGGCGGTCTCGGCGGGGGTCCCAATGGGGCGGAGTGGCCGAACTGTCAGTTCGAGTTCCCCCTCTTTCTTGAGGCTTTTCTGGAGCCGTCATGGGCGCCTCTTGGGCCGTTATGGGACTCTCTTGGGCCGTCCTGGGGCCCCTGAGGGACCCGTTGGGCCGTCCTGGAGCGATTTTGGTGGCCTTGGGCCCGCTGTGGACGCTGTTGGGACCAAAAAGGTGAATCTGCAACACATGCAAGCGTTCCTTCGGAATTGGGGCCTCTTGGGGCCTCTTGGGGCTCTCTTGGGGGTCCTCTTGGAGCTGTCTGGGGGCGTCTCGGAGGCTTCCTGGCCCATCTTGAGGCTATCTGGACTGCTTTTGAGCCGTCCTTGACGTGTTGGAGCCCAGCTTGAGCAAGCTTACATGGAATCTTGGGTATCTTGGCGCCACCGAGTGTAGAAATGGAGGCTCCCGAGGCCCAGGGGGGTGTTGAGGAGCCTGGGGCCGTCCTTCCCCACGGCCCCCCCCACAGCCACCCTCCCTCAGGCCCCCACCCTTCCCATCGGATGCCCGACCCCAGTGGACGGGGAATTTACGAATTGTGCACTGATTCGCCGAGGAGACGGTCAGCTTAGTGCGGCACTCACTAGCGACTGGCAGAAACACGCGGTATCTAGCAGCAGGGGCGCCAAGGTGTAAATGCTCCGCCCGCCCATACACGTACCATCCCCCACCCTCATCGTCATAAAGCGCACATGGCGCACACACAGCGCTGCAGGAGAAGGGGAGGGGGAAAGGGGACAAGTTAGGTGCGCTCGCGTCAACATCTGACATCCTACCCCTCCCTCCCATCCCTTACCATGGCGCTGATTTTCTCTATCCGCGGACGCGTGTCGTAGCGGACCTGTGGCTCCGCGCGCTTGTGCGTAGTGGGTGGTGGTGCGCGTGCGTGCGTGCGTGTGTGCGTGGTTGTGGTTGGTTGTGGTGGTGGTGTGTATGTGTGTGTGTGTGCGTGTGTGCGCGTGTGCTGTGGTGTGACGTGGTGTGGCGTCTTGGTGGTTTGGTGGTGGGCCAGGTGCGTACGTGCGTGATGGCGGTGGTGGTGGTGGCGGTGGTGGTGTGTGTGTGTGTGTGTCTGTGTGTGTGTGTGTGTGTGTGTGTGTGTGTGTGTGTGTGTGTGTGCGTGTGCGTGTGTATGTGTGTGCGTGCGTGCGTGCGTGCGTGTGTGTCTGTGTGTGCGTGCGTGCGTGCGGTGGTGGTGCGGTGCGGTGGTGGTGCGCGTGCGTGCGTGCGTGCGTTGGTGGGTGGAAGTGGCGGTGGGTGTGCGTGCGGCGGGGCGGGGCGGGGCGTGGTGCGGCGCGGTGGTGGCGGGCGGATGGGCGCGCGAGAAAGAGGCCCGCGCTGGGGCGAGAACGCCATCCTGAACGACGGAGGCCAAACACCGATCCGAAAATGAGGCCCACGCTGCAGCGGGAGCACGATTCGGAACGATTCGGGAGCAGAAATGAGGCCGGCGCCTCAGCGAGAGCAGCATTTTGAAAAAACGCAGGCGAAAACCCAACTCCCGGGAATCCTGTGTGTAAAAAAATAGTACGCGGGGGGGGTCTATTACTCCCTGGACGCCATCAGGGGAAGAGGGAGAGTAGTATTCATATTGAGTAACTGTGGAGGGGGAGCGCCAATTATCTCACACGCCTTGGCGCCCCCTGCAAGCGGGGGCCGGCGTGCGGGCAAAACTTGTGCCCATACCCGCTGCAGCTCGGGGTTTCGGGCTCCCCTCCCCAGAAAGCCGGGGAGCACTGGCTGTGGACAAAGATCGGCCCCCTTACCAGAGGCTCGAACTTTAGCCCTATCCAGTGCGCCTCGGCCTTGCGGCCCCCTTTTCCACGAAAGCATCCGACGCCCTGGCCATGGATAGAATTGTTGCCCCCGCGGCGGGCTCTGACGCGGCCTCTCGCGAATACGCGAGGCCGCGCGCGCTCGGGGGCCGCGCCGACGACGAGGCCCACCGCGGGGGGGGGGGCGACGAGGGCGAGGCGTTCGAGGGCGAGGGCGAGGCCCAGCAGGCGCTCTCCGAGGCTTCCTGGGTGCTCGCGGAGGCCATCGGAGGTAGTTCGGGTCGCGCCGCGCGGGCGCGCGGTGCGGGCTTCGGCGGAACAGACCGCCCTTGCGCCCGCAGCGTCGGCGTCAGGCCCAGCAGGGCCGAGCCGGGGAGGAGGCGCTCGAGGGCCGAGCCGAGGGCGAGGGCATCAGGTCACCCGCGGGGGCGCGACGACAGTCGCGCTGCGCTCAGTCGCGGTCTGGGCCAGGGTTGACCCCCACCTCGTTTGGGAACGCAGGGACCTGGGAAGTCTATTGGCCATCTTCGGGCCCCCCGACCGCTAGGAAAGAGCTCAGCGCGTAGTGCCTGTCCCAGAGAAGCGTTCTCGACCTCTGGGGGTCCACGTTGCGACAACAAGCACACGACGTCGGTGTCCTGTGGAGGGCCAGGGGGCGCGGGGATAGAACCGCGCGTCGCCCCTGGCCGCCTGGGCCAGAGCGGCTGCCCATCTCCCGGGGGGGGGGGGGGTTGCAGCGCGAGGGCGCGAAGATCATGGGGGGGACCCAGGGGAGCCACTGCCCTTGTGCCCCCGAGGGCGATGGATCCACGGAAGCAGTCGCGACGAATCGGGCTTCCGACCGTGTCTCGGTGGCAAACGAGGGGGGGGGGGGGAAGTTGGAAGAAGCGGGCATTCTCAGAAGGCCTGGAAGTCCCCCAGCCTTCTGAGGAGTTGTCTGAGCCTTCCCCGAAGACGCGACCAAAACATCCCTCAAGGCGCGAGGGATTCCGAGAAGTCCTGCCGCCGTCTGCGAAGGCTTTATTTTTTTTATTTCCGCCCCTCGCTCGCCGCCAAATATCAGGCGATGGCCTGTTCCTTTTCACTTCCCCCCATCGCCGCTCGCCGCCAGATGTCTGGCGATCGCAAGTATGGATCAAGGGGGAGTGGATTAGCGACGGGCCCCGCCTCGATGGGCAATCGGGGATGTCCGCCGCCGAACGAGGCGGCACCGGCCGCATCCAGGGGAGGGCACCTACCCCGATCCATGGATGCGGAGACCGCGCGCCAGGTCCACAGGTCGCTGGTCCATGTATGCGCGCCCCCGAAAATGTCGGAGGCGGCGGCACAGGGCCTGGCATCGCTCGGACGTGTGTTTTTTTTTCCGGCGAGAACTTTCGAGGACGATCCTGGACCATCGAGCACAAAGAAAAACACGCACGAAACCGACAAATGCACTGGAAATGGACGTCCGAGCGATGGCAAGTTGTGCGCTCCTGCTGTTCAGGGTCATCCTGGCATAGCGAAATATCCTTGACCCCCCGATCTACACGTGAACAACATATTGCCCACTCATTGCTGAGAACTGCCCTCTCTCCTTTTGTCCTCTCTCCCCCCCGTCCGCTTGGCCCAGCGTTTACGCCGCTTGCAGGAGGAAAAGACGATGACGGTCCTGCGGCAGGTTTACCTGCCGACTCCACGTTTTTGTTTTCGGTGTTAGTGGCATGCTTGCGAATGGGAGTCAGGGCGATAACGGTCCTGTGGCAGTATGGCCTGCCAGCTCCTCGTGGTGGTCATTCGTTGGCGCGGTCTCCCTTTCGCCTCTCCCCCCCTTCTCCAAAATAGCGCTGAACAAAAACAAATCGTTGCTGAGAACTGCTAACGAAGCACGGGGGACTTGGCTCACGGGGGGGGGCATCGGCCCCTCAGGCGCCCATGCTCAGGAGAGGAAAAAACACACAAACACAATTCATCGTCGATCCCCCAGAAACTATGGGAGCGTATGGGAAGTGGGGGGGAAGACAAAAAGTCTCAGAGAACATGGGAAACTAGGGGGAATCTGGCCATTCGTGTCTAGTTACTTGTGTGTCCCAGGGCCCCTTCAACAAACTAGTGCACACAGAGAACGCTCGAGAACCCTGGCGCCACAGGGTTCTTGGGCCAGGGGGAGGTCCCGCGGACAAGAACCAAGAGGGGGGGCAGAAGGGAACAGGGATCGAAAGGGGGAGGAGGGGGGGGAAGTGAGTGGGCATCAGAGCACACGCCAAGCGTCCCAACAAGTGAACGCCATCTCCTGCTGCCGCAACCGTCGACGCACAAGACGAAGCTAAGGAAGCTAACGAACTAACGAAACGAAGACAAAATCCCAGAGAATCTGGGAAAATAGGGGGAATCTGGCTATTCGTGTCTGTTTCTTTGTGTGTCCCAGGGCCCCTTCCACAAAATAGTGCACACCCCTTGCCGAAAGCTGCCAACGAGGCGTGGGGGACTTGGCCCCCCGGGGCGGGGGCCCTCGGCCCCCCGGGCGCCCCTGCCCTCGACAGGGGCGGCCCGGCCCCCTCCAGGAGTGGGGTGGGGGTGGGCCTCCCCGCGGGTGGCCCCCTCTTCGGGGCCGGCCAGGAGAGGGGGGCGATGCCTCCACGCCGGTCGCTGGAAGTAGGTGTTTTTGGGACTCCCAGATCCCAGTCTACTTCAAGCGCCTTCCCACACCAAGAGTGGTGCCTCCACGCCGGTCGTTGAAAGTAGGTATTTCTGGACTCCCATATCCCAATCTATTGCAGGCGCCTTCTTACTTCAAGAGTCGGCATGCTCTTGCCGTGTGCTGCCGTTCTCTGGGACCGCCTGGGCCCAATGCACTTTATCATCCGCCTTCCTGCTTTGTATTTCTGCCTACTTCTTCCGACCGACGTGCAAGGGGGGCGTGGATATCATGGCGGGGGCCATGACATGTCTCCAGATCTCATGGCACATGATGTTCCAACCTATTTTAGCCTCGAGCACCAGGAAGGATCTCGAGCACCACAACAGTACCGAAGCTGGAGGGTTTTCGCGTGTCGGGACCTCGGAGGCGATACTCGTTCGACATTGTTTCGATACTTTTCTTGGTGCTCGAAAGTATTGAATCGCTTCGCTCATTCCGCCGGCCCACGTTGCCTCGCCGCTGTCGTTTGTCCGGGTGTTGTTGTCAATGCGGGGGGTTGGCCGACTGCCATTTTTCGGAGGCGGTGGGTGGCGGGTCAGAGGCCTCACGGATGTTAATTGGGCTCTCGTGGTTGGCCTTTCAGGGGCCTTTGGGAGGCAGTTTTGAGGCCTCTTGGGGGCCATGTTGGGACCTATTGGGGCCTCTTGGGGACCTCTTGGGGCTTCTTGGGGTGCCTCTTGGGGGCCCCTTGGGCCTCTTGGGGGCCTCTTGGGGCCTCCTGGGGGCCTCTTGGGGCTGAAGGATGGACTTTTCGGTTCCTGGTCACCTTCTTGGGTCCCTATTGGGGCCGTTTTGGGGCTTTCTTGGGCCGTCTTGGGCGCCTCTTGGGTTGTCTTGGGGCCATCTTGGGCCGTCTTGGGGCTGTCTTGGGGTCCTCTCGGACCCTCTTGGGGCGATCTTGGGGGCCTCTTGGGCCAACTTGCAGCGCCGGGAAGCCGAACATGGAGAAACCGCAAAATGTGTCCAAAATCCAAGGGAAATCACTCAATTTTGCCTCTTGGGGCCCTCTTGGTGGTGCTTTTGGAGGCCTTTGGGGGGCGTCTGGAGGCCATGGAGGGCGTCTTCGAGCGACCTTGTGGCATCGTCGGCCGATCTTTCGAGGACTCCAAGGGCTCGTGGACCCTCTGGGCGCCTCTCTTGAGGCCCGCCTCTTGGGCCGTCTGGGGAGCCTCCGGCAGCTCTGACGGGCACTTGCGCGGGGACCTGCCGGGAGTTTGGCGGGGTGCCTGTCGCGTCAGGGCCTCCCGGGGCCGCCTCGCGCACGCGAACTTGTTATGATGTTGTTAATGTATTACCAGAGATCTTAGCACGCATCTGGCCCGTTAGGCCAGCGAATTTCTGGGATATTGTCCTTAAGTGCGATGGGAACAACATAACTCATGGCGCCTCTTCGTAGTTCAATGCATCCCTGGCCCCCCCCCCCTGGGGCTCGCACGTGCTGCCCGCCAAGATTTGCGCCCCCCCCCTTGGACGCCCCCCTCTTGGCCGCCCCCGATATCGGCGATGTGTCGCCACCGACAGCAGGTCGTCTGTCCATGTCCCCTGCAGCGTGGAGTTTCGGGCTCCCTTCCCCAGAAGCCCGAGGCGCCTTGCCCCCTGACGTTCCTGAAGTCCCAGTGCTGTGTGGTGTGACCACACCGTAGGGTGAGTCGGAGGGGATCCGGGGTGACCGCACAGTCATGGAACAGGGGTATGGATCGCTCTCCGAGGGATTCTCGGGTGACCTGGGCCTCCGAGGTCCCAGGACTGAGCGGTGACGGACCGTGCGGTGAGGTCTCTTGAAACTTCGAGATCACCGTGCGGTCCGTCACGATACGGTTTTGAGACCCCCACGTGTTCGGCAAGAGGGGGGCGGATGTAGGTCCTGGCAGGTTTCGTTCAGCATCGACGCGCGGTAAGATCTTTTGTGATCTCAAGGTCGTGGCACGATCTGTCAGATTATTTATTTGGCTTGGCATTGTTAGGACGTGTGCATGTGTTCTCGTTGAGGACCATCGAGGAGCATCCTGAATCATCTTGCAAACACACACACACGAAACCGAAAAATGCAGAGGGAATGCACGTCCGAGCGATGGCAAGTTGGGACCACCTACCGTCGCCCTTCGCCCTGTCGCGGCGGAGCAGGAAGAGTGCCCAGATCTCGAGACTTGTCGAGGGAAAACGTGTCTAGCGCTGTGTGTTCTGCAGCGCAGCATTCTTAACCATCATGTAAACACAGCTTATGCATTCCACACCGCCTACTCTACATAGCTTGTTCAACCTTGGACTACTCAGCTTGCACCACGTGGATTACACCATACAGTTTGCACCATGTAGCTTACACCGCATAGCGCTTCGTATGGCTGCACCATAAAGGTTTACACGTCTAGAGTGTAATGCGTTACTGCTTATGGTCCACGCGGGCTAACATCGTGCAAACAGGTTGTCACGGAGATGCTTTGCAATCTCTTCCAACAGAGAGTGTTTGCATAGCAGTCGGCTGACCAGCCGTCGTGATTTACCACCGTCCAATTGTATATACATGTCGCTTTGCTGCACGAGGGGTGTTCACGAACCCTGCGAAGCGACAGGGGCGACCTGGCCTTGGCGGACGGGGTCGTGGTCCGGGGAGGGCAGCTGTCGTCGCCAAGGATTGGGACGCGCGGCCGTTACAATAGCGTGGTGGTAGTGGGAGGGGGGGAGGAGGAGGAGGGGGGAGAGGGGGAAGAGGGGGAAGAGCGGGAAGAGCGGAGAGGGGGAAGGAGGGGAGGATGAGGAGGAGGAGGAGAAGAGGCGGAGGAGGAGGAGGAGGAGGAGGCGGAGGGGGGAGGGGAGGAGGAAGGAGGAGGAGGGGGGGGATCGAGGATTGCAGGCACGCGGCCCCGAGCGTGGCCCCAAACGGCCCCGAACTGCCACCGCGATCTCAAGCAGTGGCCCGAGGGCGGCGCTGCACCCCGCGCCCCTTCTCCTCCTCCTCCTCCTCCTCCTCCTCCTCCTCCTCCTCCTCCTCCCTTCCCTCCTCCCCTCCTCCTCCGCCTCCTCCCCTCCTCCTCCTCCTCCTCCTCCTCCCCCTCCCCTCCTCCTCCTCCTCCTCCTCTTCCTCCTCTCCCCCTCCTCTCCTCCTCCTCCCTCCCTTCCATCCTCCTCCTCCTCTTCCTCCTCCCCATCCCTTCCATCTCCTCCTCTTCCTCAACCCTTCCATCCTCCTTCTCCTCCTCTTCCTCTCCTCCCCCTCCTCTCCTCCTCTTCTCCCCTCCCTCCTCCCCCTACTCTCCCTCCTCCTCCCCCTCCTTCCATCTCCTTCCTCCTCCTCTCCTCCTCCCTTCCATCCTCCTCTTTTCCTCCTCCTCCCCCTCCTCCTCTTCCTCCTCCTCCCCCTCCTCCGCCTTCTCCTCCTCCTCCGCTCCTCCTCCTCCTCCTCCTCCTCCTCCCTCCTCCTCCTCCTCCTCCTCCTCCTCCTCCTCCTCCTCCCCCTCCTTCCATCCTCCTCCTCCTCCTCCTCCTCCTCCTCCTCCTCCTCCTCCTCCTCCTCCTCCTCCTCCTCCTCCTCCCCCCCCCTGGCATCGCTCGGACGTGTGCATTTTTTCTCGGCGAGAACCATTGAGGACGATCCTGGACCATCGAGCAAAAAAAACGCACGAAGCTGAAACATGCACGGGAAATGGACGTCCGAGCGATGGCGAGCGGGCCCCGCTGTTAGATCGAACACCCTGAAGAGCACAAACCGCAGGGCGCGGCGCAGGAGGGCAGAGCGCGGCAGGCAAGAATCGTGGCTCGATGCCCCTCTACCGATGAAGCATGCGGACGGTTGGGCGAGCAGCTCTCCGGATTTCGAGGGCCTCAACGCGCAGCATTGGTGTACAGTCGGGGCCCTGAAGAAGGAACCCTTTTCGTTGGGGAGGGGCTCCGCGTTCCTCAAGTGTTTCACAGCTTGCCTCGGGTTTCCCTTATGTTTTCGATGGGAAATCGAAGGTTAACTTATGGAAAAAGGGGCCTCGTTCCTTATGTATCGTTCCTTAGGTCAACGCCCCGACAGTAGCTGCGGTCTGAGGCCGTCGAGATTTGGAGCCCGGTGGCGGTGGTGGGCAGCGGGCCTCCGAGATCCGGAGCTTTGCGCGGCAGAAACGCAGGCACCGTCGACCTTGGCGAGGAAGTACACGATACCCACCCGAGCGAGAGATTGAAAGTGGGCAGAACGAAGCAAAACACATGACGTGCGTGATTGCCTCGTCCCAGGCTCACACATTGGTCTGGCTCGCAAGTGCCGCAGGGCGACGGGGTCGAGTGTTCCAGTCGTGAGGTGTACTGCTTGAAGTGATTCAAAAATTGCCGAAAGGACAGTCGAGTCCAGCCGCGTGAATAAATGTGCCCCCCAGCTCGCGAGGTCGCCGTGGTGTTACTCATGTTCGCGCAGTGCGCCCTCTCGGAGATTGTGTGAACTCGTGTGCGCTTACGTCTTTGATTCGCTCCTCACATGAAGGCGAGACGCCGACGAGTCGCCTCACCTACCCAGACTCTGTTTCTCTCACGACGCGGCCCCCAGAGGTCTGGAACTCTTCAAGGGGAAAGGCTTAGCATCCTCAATCGTTTTGTTGGCGGTGCTGGGGTCCAGTGAGGGCCCACGGAGGCCGACTGTGGCCAAACATATTCTGCGCCGTGATTTGTTCGCGACGCGAGGGTGCGAGGGGAGGAGGGGGGGCAGGGGGGATTGATGAACCAGGCTTGTATGCTCTAGACGCTTCGCGTAGTCCTACCAGCTGGATGCACCGTTGCATGTCTCGGTCAGGGGCTCTTCTGCAGACTCCCTGGATTGCACGCTGGCTCTGCCGCCCTGGGCGCTGCCCCCCCCCCGCCGCCTGATCCGCGGCCCCCGCGCGCGCTCGGCAATTTAGTCGCGGCCGTAGCCCGCCCGCGACCTCCCGCCGCTGGCGCTTCCGCCTGCGGCTGTAAAAGAAAAGTAGCCCTACCAGCTGTAGCTAATTAGCCTCGCCTGCTGGCCCAGACGACGCCTTCCGCTCCCTGTCCGCTGCCTCGGAGCCGCCGAACAAAAAAAATAGTCCTACCAGCCCATCCAGAAACGATGCCCAGACGAGTTGCCCTGATCAGGGATGTGGAGGAGCATGCTGTGGAATAGCGGGGGATTGACCAAAGAAGGGGGGGGCCCAATCATCAGGAGGAGAAAAAACACAGACACAATTCATTGTCGATTCCCCCGAAAATATCGGGAAATATGGGCAGTGGGGGGGAAGACAGACACCCAAAACATACGGGCAAATCTGGGGAATCCTCCTACGTGTGTGTATTTGCTCGTGTGTCCCAGGGCCCCTTCAAATCAGGCCTCCCTTTCCCCTGGAGGCCAACACTGGTCCAAGACCTGAGAGGACCTATCAGAAGATCTGTACTGTCTCGCCGAGGCCCTGTGGGACGATCCGGTCGACCGCGGGGCGCCCCGTCCAGGTCCAGGGGAGAGTCAAGTCGAGCCTGTCCCTCTACGGAGGGGGGAAATTCAAACATCGTCCAAAAATCGTCGGGGGATTTTTTTTGTTGCGCTCTTTTGCTGTTTTGGAATATTGTTCGAGCATTCCTTATTGTTCGTCGAAAATCCCCCTAGGGGGACATGCCCGACTTAAGAGTAGAGTCCAGCCGTGGCAGAAGATCGAGGTCGGGTCGGGGACGGTTTCCTACTGTTACTCGGGTTTGTTGGATGTTCTTGTGCATCCTGGGGGGGGGGCCCTCGAATGTTCTGAAGTTGGGCCGACGGAGGGTCGCATGTTTTTGAGGGAGGTTATTCTGTCCTAGGTCCGGCTATGGTGGGTGAGGCAAACTTTTTTTTTCTCGCAGGGGAAGACGGGAAATGGAAGATGGAACCCACTGAGCCACTCGCGCCCATAGGGCTGGTGGAACGACTCAACCCATACCGTGCGGTGTACCAATGTGGAGCCGCAGTCGGTGGACCAGGAGGATAGCGGCGCACCGCCGATCTGTCGGCGATGTGGCGCGGTCCAGAGCGCGATTCTCTCCATCCCGACGCATCGCCGACGCATCTCCGATGTCTCGGCGATGCGGCGCGATCTTCCGACCCGATCCACTCCGGCCCCATTTTGGGAGGCCTCCGTGGCCTCCGTCGAGAGCCCGTCGGCGTGCTGTGCCTCGGTTTCTGTCCGAAGATTTGGTGTTTCCACGAGGGGGTGGGTCGAACGGATCTCTGACAAAGTTGCTTTCATGGAGGGTGGGGGCTCCCCGGCGAGCCCCTAAGGGAAAGCTGGAGATCTCGCGGGTCGAAGCTTATTTGCGCGCTGGCCTTGTCTAAGCCTGAGGCAGTGCAGAGAGCAGCGGCGAGTGGGGGCATGGAGGCGCAGGTGCCACGCAGGTGAACTCGCCTGAATCTGAAGCGGATTGCCCTCCGACAAGTTGATGAGTTCCCCCTTCCTTGACATCCGCCGACATTTTTGAATGCGCGGCCCAGAGGTCCCGACCGCCTCCTCGGGGGTATTTTTTTGTGCCAGGTCCTCGTTTGATGACCCCTGAGAGTTTCTATTACAGAGAAGCGCCTGTCTCTCAAGATAGCCATAGCCCGGACCACCCCGCGCGCGGCATCTCAAAGCAAAGAGTTCTTGACGCTCCACACATGCCTTCCAGCCCATCCAGAAACGTATCGCCAGGAGAGGTGCCTTGATCAGGAAAGTGCAGAAGCATTGTGTGTAACAACCGCCTTGAAGCGTTTTGTCAGAGATCTCTTGGAGCCATCTTGGGGTCCTCGCGGGGCCTCTTGGGGCACTCTTGAGGCCCTCTTGGGGCCCTCTTGGGGCTCTTTCGCGGTTCGGGGATGCCTCGTGGGGCCTTCGCGGCCCCCATGAATCAAAAAGAGGGGGGTCCTGAATTCAGCCCTCCCCCATCGGAGACTCGGAAATGCCGTCTTCGGGCCCTCTGGAGCCGCTCTTGAGGCACTCTTGGGCGTACTTGGGGCCCTCTTGGGGCCCTCTGGGGCCTCTCTCGGGGCTCTCTTGGGCCATCTTGGGCCCGCTGAAGCTTCAAAGACATCGGAAGCAAAAAAGGCGAAAAGGCAACACATGTTGAATATTTGTTTCTAGGTTTTGGAGCCATTTTGGCTTCTTGTGGGGTGCCCTGGAAGCTTCCAAGGTCAGTTTGGACAGTCTTGGGGCTGCCTTGAGGTCTCCTTGAGGTATGTCGAAGACTACCTTGAGCCATCTTCGGCTATCTTGAGCCATCTTGGAAGCGATCTTAAGCTCTCGGAAGCCCTCTTGGAGCCATCTTGGGACGCTCTAGCCACTCCGTCCACCCCCCTCGAAGGCCCAGGGGAGGGGATCGGGGGAGGCGTGAACCCCTCCCCCGAGCAGGGGAAGGAGGCTTGTGGAAAGACAGAAAATGAGAGTTGGTCCAACCACCTACGCCTAGATGGCTGGTTTGCGAGGCTGTCTCAGGCGAAACGCGCTGGACGTCCTCTCGCGAGGCACCCCGAAGACCAGAGTTGCGAGGACGTCTCAGGCGAAACGCGCCAGACCACCTCGCGCGCAGCATCTCGGAGTTGAGAAGGGTGAGGATGTCTAGCGAAACGCACTGGACCACCGCGCTCGCGGCATCTCGGAGCCCAGAGGTGGAAGTGAGAATGTCTCGTGCGAAACACGCGAGCCAGACCACCTATCGTCCAATTATTCCCCATATCCTAAGGATTGGGGTTCTTGTTATTACTCTGACGCCTCCCACTCCTCCTCCTCCTTTTTCCTCCCGCTCGCGCCTCCCTCCTCCCAATGATAATCACCAGATAAGACAAGACAAGATAAGATACTACAATATAAGATAAGATAGCACAAGATATGATAAGAAGAGATTTCAAGATAATATAAGATAAGTTAAGCTCACATTCGCACTCTCTCATGATCACAAAACGCTGGCAGGGGCATCACTTGGGAGCCCCAAGGGGGAGCCACCCTGGCTGATCTCACGAGCCCGTTCGCGCCGATTTTGGTGGGACGTCTCAGCTAAAATTGCCGTTTGGCCTCCCCAACATGTCTCTCTTGAGAGCCTCATGGTCACAAAACGCTGCCAGGGGCATCATTTGGGAGCCCCAAGGGGGAGCCACCCTGGCTGATCTCACGAGCCCGTTCGCGCCGATTTTGGTGGGACGTCTCAGCTAGAATTGCCGTTTGGCGCCCCGAACATGTATCTCTTGAGAGCCTCATGGTCACAAAACGCTGCCAGGGGCATCATTTGGGAGCCCCAAGGGGGAGCCACCCTGGCTGTTCTCACGAGCCCGTTCGCGCCGATTTTGGTGGGACGTCTCAGCTAGAATTGCCGTTTGGCGTCCCCAACATGTATCTCTTGAGAGCCTCATGGTCGCAAAACGCTGCCAGGGGCATCATTTGGGAGCCCCAAGGGGGAGCCACCCTGGCTGATCTCACGAGCCCGTTCGCGCCGATTTTGGTGGGACGTCTCAGCTAGAATTGCCGTTTGGCGCCCCAACATGTATCTCTTGAGAGCCTCATGGTCGCAAAACGCTGCCAGGGGCATCATTTGGGAGCCCCAAGGGGGAGCCACCCTGGCTGATCTCACGAGCCCGTTCGCGCCGATTTTGGTGGGACGTCTCAGCTAGAATTGCCGTTTGGCGCCCCAACATGTATCTCTTGAGAGCCTCATGGTCACAAAACGCTGCCAGGGGCATCATTTGGGAGCCCCAAGGGGGAGCCACCCTGGCT